CCTTCTCCTGGCGCAGTTTAATTTCCTTTGCTGCCTGGATCCATCTTACAGTGTGCAGAGCCTGTTTGTTGTGGTGGAGCGTTGCCTTACAAGCATTTACCATACCTTGACTGGAATACCTTTTGTAACTGGGTTTGTTTTGACGCTGTTTTGCTTTGAGGGAAGTGCAGTGACCGCAGGCTGCAAAGGTGCGACTGTTTTGTTTTCTGCGTTTTTAATACATGATAAATAAACGTTCTCCATAAAAATGAATGAGAACAGAAGCAGTTTGTATTCTCTTTGAACACTCCTCCTAAGATCTGAAGATACTTTCAGGTGTGAGTTAGGATCTCGCATAGTACCCAGCATTGTCATGGCCAAGCACAAACGTTATCCTAGTAAAACATTATTTATTGTTTTTTGACAGACAGGTTAAATATCTCTTAACTGTTTAACCAGTGAGGAGATGAATGCATCAGCAGTTTGGAGAGCATTTCATTCTCTCTGGAGCCCAGTACTGTTGCAGCCTCGGCTATGTAAAATCCCTCAGCGTTTCTGCAGAGCTTCATCATTCGTATTAAACCCCGTCAGATTCCTCCAGACCCACCAGTTGCCGTCGTCGCTGCTGTCACCTCTCTTGTGAGGATGGCGTCTAACTCACGGGGCTTGGAGCAGTTGACCTGGTGCATTGGGGGGAACTGCTGTCAATCCCTCTGAATACGTGAGGAGGGCGAACGGAGCAGCAGAGCTGCGTGGGGATGTCTGCGGGGACGGAGCAGCTCTCTGCCTGCTGCTGAGGAACGACTGAAGGTCACTGCTGGACTGCAGTGTGGTTCGGGCTCCCGTATTTTCCACCCGCTGGATGTTGCTTTGTTCTTAAAATGTTTCTCGTTTTCCTGTGCTGGTGCAGTTTGGTTCCTCGGTTGTGATCAATGGCACGGCTTGCTTACCGCCCCATCAGTTTAGACCATCCCAGGCCTGATTTTCACAAGAGAACACCCTTGGCACGGCAGTGTGACCAAGTCCTAGGGAAGAGCTGGCTCTCCCTTACCTGCCTGATTGCGGTTGCCCGAGGGAAGACGTTGAGATGCTTGTGCAGGGTTGGAGACTTGCTGGCTTTCCTCCTGGCTTCGGGCGAACCTTTTAATATCTCTGTTTCCACTCTTGTGTCTACAGTGGGGTTACTGGCACTGGGGTTAATGGCCGGTGGTGGTCTTCTGCAGCCCCCTGGTCCCTCCTCCAGTGCAGCTCTGTGGTGGGAGACACACACACAGATTTGGCTGCTTCCATGGAGTTTTGGCCAAAACCAGCTTGCTTAAGCTCTGGGGTGTCGGTTTATTTCTTAAGTTGAACACTGTAATATTTCCACCCCTCGCAGGGGTGTTACCAGACTTAATGAATTAATATACGAAGAGCTTTGAGCTGTCCAGATGAAGGGCACTGCAGAAGGGCTAAGGATTATTATTTGTGGTTCTAATTTATTTTTCATCAAAGGGATGAGAGGGGTGAGAAAATGCTATTTGCTCTGGAGCTGGGAACAGGAGTTTGAAGTATTTTTTTATTTTTTTTTTTTTCTTTCTTTCTTTCTTTTTCTTTTCCCTTCCCCTTTGTGTGTTTCTCTGAGAATTTCGTGGAAGTCCCTGCTCTGTCTTTTCTTTTCTGGGCACCAGTGTGTGAAGTAGCCGGCACCGTGCTAGTCACCAGAGACTTCAAGGGCCATAGCATATTAGGAAAGTGCCTGCCCTGGTTTTCAGTAGCAACCCATTTCTGGGAGTTGCAAATAACTGCTACCTTCAGCGTGAGTTCAGCATTCAAAGTAAAGGGAAGATTTCACGTGGAATTTTTTCTCAAAAGCACCTGGCAATACCCTGAGCCCCGTCTCCTCAGATTCTGTGGCATTCGGCTGTTTCTTCTTCGTAATAGCTCAGTTTTGGACGTTTTGGGGAATTCCCACCCTTGAACAGTGGCAGATGTTTTCTCCTGGTATTATTTTTTTGTAGTCAAGTAGCAATAATTTCCAAGGGGGTGGGAGAATGACAGTGATGGGTTGGGAGGTGGCACTGGGAACTGTGCGCAATCCTCTTTTCAGGGCGCAGAACAGCGGTCGGCTGGTCGTGGTGGGAGAGCAGGTCCTTCTCCGGCATTGGCATGCGTGTCTCAGCCCTGAGCCTGGCTCCACCTGTGTGGCAGCCCCCTTGGCGATGGCTTGCCACCTGCATGTGCCAAACTGAGCGGGTTGTGGGGTCAGATCCCCGCTGATGGTCCGAGCGCAGAGCTCACCTCTCATCCCCCGCAGCTGCTGGGGATGCCGCGCGCTGCTGCTCCCGCAGCCAGCCCCGCCGGGACTGCCCGTCCCTGCCTGCCGGGTGCTCGGGGTGTGCCGAAACACGGCTGAGAAGAGCAGGGCAGCTGTGGTGCTGCATCATCTTGACTCATTGGTTTCTGCCTGCAGCCCTGGAGCAGTCATACAGGACTTCATGCTAAAACTGTCTCGTGGGAGAGACTCACAGCACTATAACAAGGTTTTGCCCTAAGTGGTGAATAGAAATTCACCCCGATTCCTTTTTTTTTTTTTGTGTTGCTTGCTGATTTATGAAGGCACAGCTATACCAGTCCTTAACTGCCCATGTTTTCAACTAATAAGATTAGAAGCTAAATAGCAGGAGGATAAATGGTGGATTATAACCATTCGATGGTTCCTGCAAAAATCCTCACTATTGCACGTGTAGTTTCACTGCTTTAAAAGACTCGATGGGGACAGGCAGGCTGCGCTCCTGTATCTGTGAGCAGGAATCGGCCCGTTGTGATTTTACTGCTGCTTTTAGCACAGACTAAACCAAATACAGCTCTGCGTGTGACTTGATCTGAGCTGAGGGTTGTCTCTTCAGATCTGCAGGAAGCACGGGATGACTTCTTTGGTTGGAGCCGCTTTGTGGTACCAGCTGAGTTTTCATATTTCAATTCGAGTTTATCAGTACTGATGTTCTGATGCAGAATCACTTTCTGTGCCTTTCTGCATTGGTTCAGTAATGCCTGTGGATGCTGTAGAGCTGGAGAAGGTGCCTCTGAAATGCCAGCTCCCAACAAGGAGTTCTGCTGCTGAGGAAAAGTTGGTCTCGTTTTGGGTCATTGGGATTACACTAGCAATCTTCCTTCTCTTTTCTGCAGCTTGCCGTGCTGGTCCTCATAGCAGTGGTTTTACTGGGGCTGCACTGGGGCTGAAGCCTGCTCACCGTATGCCTGCCCATGCTGTGCCGGGGTGGTTTTGGTTACAGCTCGGACAGTGAGGACTTCTTACTCATTCTTTAATCTGTGTGGCAGCAAAGCGTCTTAACTTCTGTAATATAAATTGTCCTTTGGTAGTTTTCATGCAATAAGAGTAATTTTGCTGGCAATGGTTAGTTAGGTGCTATGTGCCATGGGAGGTATTTCTCACGGAGTCCCTCTGTTTCTCCCGTGGAGGTGTCCCTGTGACCCACAGCCCTCCTGCGCCTGGGCACGTCTCTGCAGATCGCAGCGCTTGTGTGTAGAGGTACCTGAACAGCTTCAGACCGTGAGCATACCATGCTGCTAACTGCCTGTGCTGACCAGGGTGCGCCACGCCGTGCCCTGCAGCAGTACCCGTGCTGTGCCAGGAGACAGGAATGAGTGCACTGGGGACATAGGATTATGAAACTCCTCACAGAGGATAAAGCCATAATTATCTAACTTTATGTCCTCTGTCAGGAACTCCAGCCCTCTTATGTCCTGGAAATAGATGTGCCTCAGTTTTGGACTGCAGCCCTTCTGTTTCACTGTACTCTCCTTACAGCCCCACGAGTGCGGCTCAGGCTGATGCATTGCACTCCTCCTGCTTCCAGCATCTTCTCTGTCTTGCCTTTCCCTGCAGAACAACATCTGTTGGCATCCAAATTGTAGGTGCTTCTTCGGTGCCTGTCTTTGCCCCCCTACTCCCAGGGCAGGCTGCTCGCAGCAGAGCCAGACGGTCAGAGTGGAGCCCTGCGGAGGTTTGCGCTGTGTCAGGGCTCCCGTTGGGGACTGAGAGGAGAGTTGCTAAGAATTGGTTTTTGCTCAGCTGTGGTTAAGCGTTCATAGCAGCAAATCCCTATGCTGTTGCTATACTTAACATGCCAAACGCAATTATATTGAGAAAAGAGTTTAAAAACAAGATTTTGTCTAATGTACAGTGTTTTGGCAGCAATTAACTCTCAGTTCTATCATTTTCCCCAAGGTGAACATGAGAACGATCAGTTATGCATGAGAAACTGCTCTGTCGTGAGAGAGGAAGGCAGCTTCCTAAGTGAGGATAAAAGGGTTTGCCCATACTGCAGGGCACGTTTTTCAGTGCCGCCTTTCTTGAACGTCCATCTGTATTTGATAACTTTGGGAAATGGTTTCTTTGTGTAAAAAGTGCTTGCAGGGTAGTTCACAAGGTGAGAAGGAAATCGCTGGGGACAAGCAGTGGCACAGGCCCTCTGGCCATTTCTTTCCCGGGGGCTGCTGCAGGGCACAGGTTTTGGCACCAGTGAGGCCCCTGTGGTCATGCTGGCCCCGGGGTGGTGCTGAGCAGGTAGCCAAGGAGAACCGTGCTTTTGGATGATTTTTTTTTTTTTTT